AACATAAAAAGACATTGGATCTAAACAGAAGAACTAAATGAAAGTCTAATTAATTCATTTATATAAAAAGACATTGTAACTAAAGTGTATGGCTTTCTGACGTACTCCTGAATTCATTAACAAAAACATATTACAGCTAAACAATAGGGCTAATGAGAGTTCTCATGAATTCATTGATATAAAAACACATTATATATAAAGAGTAGTGATTATTGAAGGACTCATGAATTGCTTAATATGAAAATACATTGAATCTAAAGAGTATGACTTATTGAAGTTCTCATGAATTCATTGATATAAAAACACCTTATATATAAAGTGTAGGACTTATTGAAGGTCTCATGTATTCCTTAATATGAAAATACATTGGATCTAAAGAGTAGAGATGTTTCAAAAAGAGTGAGTTCAAATAACAAGTAAGACATTTTTGTTCACTTTTCACAAATTGCCTTAGTGAAGGTATGATTCCCTTTCTTTTCTTCCAATTATGTGCCAAAAAACAGAGCAGACTTCATTCTCACATCTTAGTTTGTAATCCATCTAGGAGAAAAACTCTAAATTCAAAACAATGCAACAGGTGTTGTGTTTAACTGTCAAATTGGATATCTGACAGATCCATGGTAAACCTTTTAGCTGAAAATTAATTCAACTTAAAAAGCCTGTCTGTTAATAAGATGTAACTCTTTATTATTGGCAATTACTGCACAATTCTGTCTTTTTCTTCTTTTTGTTTGTTGTTGGAGTGAATGCTTTGCTTTGACTCTGCTCTTACTATGAATTGTCAGTCTATCAATAGTAGCAGTTCTTTTGTTTTCATTCTTCCTTTTAAACGCAATTCCTTCCTTCTATATTTGTATTTGTAAACGCAACGTGACAAAATGTCCTACTGACTGAAATGATTTCTCCCTATGCCTTTAGGTGTAAATTTTTTTGTCTTTGGACACTGGAATTATCCTGTAGGCCTTTACTTCAAACAATGAAGATTCTCTTGTCAACAACCAGATATTCTGAAATGTTTAACTGAGGCCAGCCAATTTCCAAACCAGGTTGGAACAATATTTCTTTATTTTCCAAACTAGGTTGGAACAATAACAAATACATATATTTTGTGGGACTAACTATTATCACTTTTTCCAGTATTCTTAGGAGTTTCCTTCCTAGCCTTTTGCTTTAAGTAATATGGAATGGCAATATCTTGATTATGTTATTATTTTTGTTTCAAGCTACACATGATATCTCTTTTAGTGATGTCATTTCTGTTATTTGTTACAGTTCTTTGTGATTCTGTAGTGCCAGTCTGCAAGGTTCAAAGAAGTATGGGCCTCACTATATTCTTCATTCACTCAAAGTCATTTTTAACCATTGATTTCAGAAAGCAGTTGTATACAGCTGACAGTTTAGATATTTCTGAACAGATTGGATGACCTACATAACATCTATATGAAAGTTTTTATCTGAGGAGGCTATTTAAGAAGATTACCTGAGCTTTTAGGTTAATGTTGGGGTTTTGTAGCAATTTGTGGTATTAAGGGAAAACTACACCTAGGCACAGTGGAGTAATGGATAGCGGCTCGGATTGAGGAATTGGAGAGCTGAGTTTGTATTCCAGTCTGATCCATTACATTTCACTTCCGTGCTAATACCCTTGGAAAAGATATGAATCCTCTTCTTTCCCCAGCTATAAGTAAATAGACAGACCGGGATCTATAACCTTGGCAATTGGTCTAGGAGAAGGAAAAACTCTAAATTCAAAACTGACCTGAAGAGGGCTGGACTCTGTCAGGTTACCTTGCCCAAGAAATACCACTTCTACTGTGGTGAGCCAGGATAAGAAAAATAGCAGCTCAGATTGAGGAATTGGAGAGCCAAGTTCAAATTCCAGTCAGATCCATTACATTTACTTATGGGCTAATACCCTTAGGAAAGGTATGAATCCTCTTCTTCTCTCCCACCCACCCAGCTATAAGTAAATAGCAGGACACACTGGGTTCTATAAACCTGGGTGGCAACCAATCTAGGAAAAGGAAAAATTCTGAATTCAAAAGTTTAAAGTATCAGTACTGAAATTTTATCTGGCGACCACTTATTGCATTGGTACACAGACATTTGGCCGACAGACATTTGGCCGACTGACATTTGACTGACGGACATTTGGCTGACAGACATTTAACTAAATGGACATTTAGTTGAAAATGTAGTGGTGTACTTACATGTATGTCAGTCCATCCTGGATAAGACGTTAAACTACATCTGTGTCCTGGGTAAGATGTTAAACTACATCCAGCAGCAAGGCCTCTGATCAGGAGGTTTTGAGGAGTATGGAACCACCTTTTAATTGCTGGTGTTCCCAGGTCCACCCTGACCCGGGGTGGTAGCACCTGTTAGGGTCCCAGCTATGGGAAAATAGTTAACTATTTATTTATTACCAGCAATACAATTTTGAAGAAAAAATATTACTAGAAACAGATTTTTGACAAAACAAAATATTACCAGCAATAAAAAATGTTGTCTGCATTAAATAACCCATTGAGATTGATATGCCGTAAAACAAAATAAACCAAACCAAACCAAACATGTATGTCAGACTCTTTATCATAGTGTGCTACATATATTTATATATATTTATTGTATTAGATTTATTTTTTTAAGAGGCTTTTTATATATATATTCTTTATATATTACATTTTACTTCAAATATTACTGTAAGATGATAAGTATTTTGAGAAAAAGCATATTTTACTACAGCAAAAATGTTAAGCTTTTACGATATGAAAGATCTTTCAATTCCACTTTTAATGATCCTTATCTTAAAGGGATGAGCTATTTTTTATCTTACTGTTAAATACAAATTTAAATAATTAGGTGCTACTTTTTACCCAGATACACTAAAATATTTTAAAAAATACTAATTTCAATAAACAAATATTGAAATAAGAAAACTTTTAACTTTAAATTTAGATTTAGTAATTTAATCATTTGAAATTTAGTGATAATTATTAGTCCTATTCTACCTTATAATACTACTAATTAAAATACTTAAAGTATTGCTTGGTACTATCTTTAGTTGTACTTTTGTGGTGAAATGTCTTTTGGCCAAATGTCTTTTGGCCAAATGTCTGGTCACGTAGTGCATTCTGCCTAAAATATTCCTTCTTTGTTTTTGCTATATGCCACATCCCTTTTGGATATAGACGATCATGGCTCTCCACAACTTCCTTTCTCTTGTTGTCTTGTTCTCCCTTTGCTAAGCTTCCCAAACTCATTCCTCCATCCATTCAGACAAGTTCATCCTGGTACAGAGATCACTGCCTTCCCTGAACTCTCTTGTCCCTGATATACCCTGTGACAGTTAAGTTTTCCAAGCCCTCTTTCCTCATTATGTGTCCAAGAAGTTTCAGACGTCTTTTCAGTATCATTCTATAAAATCACATTTCTGCTCATCCATCAGGAGATTGTCCAGCGTTCACTGCCATATAAGAAGATGAATATCACAAAGCAATCCAGGACTCTTTTCTAACAAAATTCATTTCTTGGCACCTTATTTAGCTTTTGGCATGCTACTTTTGCTGGTCCAATACCTACTCAGATTTCATTTTCCATTCTTTGTTATAACACTTGCAGATATTTAGACTTCTGCACCTATTTGATTTTGACATCTTCAATTTGTAATTCCCATCTTGGCCTTTTTCTCTTGCTGATAATGATATTGTTGTAAACGAGAAATAGTTACTGAATAAGAATAACCAAAATGAAGGTTGGAAAGGGAACGGTAATCTTTATAATATTAACAACATACAAGATTTGCCAGTGGTGGGTAGTAAGTAATCCACTACCAGTGGTGAATCCCCCTCCTCCCGCCAGACAGTATATTCCATTGTGAGGATTGGGACATACCTATTATAGTCCATAGGTATGATATGACACATACTTTCTATCTTCTGGCAGGTGAGGGTTAGACCTTTTTTCTAGCATGCTGTCTAGGAGGTCCTTTAGTTTTCTTTCCAAGTAAGCCATCAACAGAGTATTAACTGTGGATTTCTTAATCCTTCAAAAAGTTTGTGTGGATAAAATTGATCCACATTCGCTGATCTGTTCACTTAAGTTCTTTCTTATTGGTTACCAAGTTCCATCAAGGCTACACAGCTAATTCTTTAAATATTTGAATTGGCTGGGTAATGTTCTGAACAGTGCTTGTATCTCTTATCTAAATTCTATCTTAGAGTGAGGCTGAAAAACACATTAGCTAAAATTACAAAGATGAGAATTATCATCTGAATAACTTGTGAAATAAGTGTGTGCTAATTTAATTTTTATTTTTTTTTGTCTCTTTTTGCCTTTTTTTAATAAATTTTTGACCTGGATATCGTGAAAATCCCTTTTTTGTAATGTTCAATGTTCAAACCTGCTTCAGCTGAAGGGTGCTAATAATGGAGAAAGGCTGTGACACACCTTTTCATATTACTATTAATGCTGCTACTCTGGCTCATATTATCCTTACTACTGCTCATGATGCTAAAATAGTTAATGCTAATTTGTTAGCGGTTCCACTTTCACTACTATTATTGATATTAGTAAGAGAATGGACAGTGGCTCATCTAGTTAAATATTTAAATAGTTAAATATGCTAATATCTTCATCAAGTTCACAATCCAGGTGACAGTCCTTATAATAGTCCTTATAATAGTAAAAGATGTTCTTTAGAACATTTACTATTATTGCTATAACACCTGTCAAGCCAGAACCGATAGATTAAGGGTTGTTGCTTATGTCACAGTATTTATTGTGATTTCCTACTGGTTTGACAAAAACTGTCAAATTCGGACTATTGCTTTATATTAAAACTACTATTATCATTATTATTATTATTATTGGTAGTACTAATACTACTATAATGATTATTACTACAAGACATACTGTTACTGCTTTTATAAAGTGCTATAATACTATTTGGTGTTTCTGTAATTTTGACCAAAACTCTAGCTGTAGCGACGAACAGTAGAATGCTGCTATTCCTTCTCTCTGGCTTCTGTCTTCTCTCATTCTGTGGTCGTTTTCCATTGCCTAAACTGTGTACATCAATATATCGATCTACTCTGTCTCTCTTTCTCTTTCTCTTTCTCTCTCTCTCTTTCTCTTGCTCAGCTGTAGTTCTTAGTGAAACAGTTTGGTACTTGTACAGCACCTCGCCTGTACAACCAGACGCATTATCCTGACCCCCCCCCACCAACACACATACTAAAACTTTCTCTTCTACTTTCTGCTTCTCTCTCCTCATCCTACTGAATTGATTCTGTCAAAGTGTTCACACTACTGCTGATGGTGATTGCAGGCAAATTAAAAACTAGTAGGGACAGCTATACCCCTGTTCATTTGCCTTTTCTTTTTTCTTTGCAGGACTTTCTGTCTTTAAATAAAAAGATCCATCTGTAATTTAATCATTCACTTAGCTTGTCCTTAACATTATCTGATTTGCAGTGATAGGAATTGTTAGGTTGATGCTGTTTGCATCATTCATCCTTCCTCAGAATCCCTGTGGTCATCATCGACAGCACATTATCCGTCATCATTCATATCTTTCTTACCATCTCTGTCATCAACTCCTTAATTTTTTTATTATCATTATAAACATAATTTCCTTATTCATTTATCTGCTGCATCCCTTTAGGACATCAGCGATCATGGCTCTCCACAACTTTCTATCCTATGTTTGTTCCCTTACTGTCACTTCCCATTCGTGTTCTGCCACCCGTTTACACAAACTCGTTCTTGTTTACTGTTTCCCACTGACTTCCTTAACTTTGATATAACCTATAAGCACCAAATTCTCCAAACCTTCTTTCATTTCCAGACATTTCTGATCCCAAGCAAAAGTTTACTTCTAGTTCCTACTTTCCTTAAAGCTTTCTTTTCCTCGCATGTTCCATCCATAGTATTCTCATCATCCTTCTGTAGAGGTAAATCTCTGTTGTGTTGTCTATTCTTCATCTATGAGGAAATTGTCCAGCTTTCACTATATATATCTGTCAAACACACTTATCTTCATTTCTGATGAAATTTCCTGTTTCTTAATATGTTGTTCAATTTTTAGAAGGCACCTTTTATTATCTCAATGAATTTTGATGTTTGGCACCTTTTATTATTTCAATGGATTTTTGGGTTTGGCACCTTTTATTATTCCAGTGAACTTTTGAGTTTCTATGATTTATTTTCCATCATTAGTTTAAACAGTTCTCAGATAAGTATTTTCTTTATTTTCAATTTTACACAAACAAACGCTTTTCTATGTTCTTTCGTTCTTTTTTTATATTTGATTTGAATTTCTTTATTGCTACTTCTTTCAAATGCTTTATTTCAGAAAGGTTTTCAAACCAGGTATCCAACCAGATAGCCTGAAATATCTAAATCTAGGTTGGAACAATAAGAAATACATATATTTTGGGGGACTAACTGTTTATCTAGGAGGGAGACATGGTGGAGTAATGGATAGCAGCTCAGATTGAGGAATTGGAGAGCCAAGTTTAAATTCTAGTTGGATCCATTACATTCAATTATGTGCTAATACCCTTGGGAAAAGTATGAATCTTCTTCTCCCCCTGCTATGAGTAAATAGCAGGACAGACTGGATTCTATAGCCTTGGGTGGCAACTGGTCTAGGAGAAGGAAAAATTCTAAATTCAAAACAGTCTTCAAGAGGGATGGGCTCCAGCAGGCTACCTTGCCCAACAAACACCATTTCTACAGCAGTGGCAGTACACATGGTGTCCCTTATGTCCTACATCCAAAGTGCTGTCTGATAAAACTAGAGATTCAGGTTGACATTTATTACTTATTGATGTAATGAATATGCATACACCTGGGTTCCCTCTCACAGTAATATGATTGGCTGATGTCAGCCATAAATACAGACTGATGTGGAGGTACAGGGATGATGCCTATTGCCTACCACTACAACGAGGACCAGTTCATTACGGTTACCTGTTAGATTGTCCTACTCGGTTACAGTAGCCCAAAAGCACTTTGCTACTTCGAACAAATATATCCCTTTCCGGGACATATCACTTATATTTCTGAAATGTCCTGTAGATTATTACTACTCTGAGCCTCATTGGGTGCCCCAATTTATGAACTTCAGTCAGAACTAATCTTAATAAACAAATATGAAAAATATGAGATTGACAAAGGGTTGGAATAAATGTAGTAGTTTTTACATGAACTGGTTTTACCAGTTAGTCTAAATAATAAAAGTAGTCACATCTACAGGGTTTGGACAAAATAATTGGAACACTTGTTAAATTCAAAGACAATTTATTTAATATGGAGTTGGTCCTCCTTTAGCCTCACAGACAGCTTTAATACGTCTAGGAATGGAATCATACAGCTTCCTGACTTCATCCAGAGGAATTTTCAGTCATTCTTCCATTAAAACCTTCTGTAGCTCTTTAAGACACGATGGTAGAGGATAGCGGCTCCTAACTTGTTGCTCCAAAATACACCACAAATGTTCAATAATATTGATATCTTGAGATTGGGGAGGCCACTCCATGTGTTCTAGCTCACTTTCATGCTCTTCATACCAATTCTTAACCACTCGAGCGGTATGTATTGGCGCATTATGGTCTTGGAAGATGCAGTCACCATCAGGGAATAAAGTCTTGGCCATTGGATGAACATGAACATGATCTTCCAAAATGTTCAGGTAATCTTTGCTGTTGATTCTACCATGCGAGGAAACTATTGGACTGAGACATTTCCATGATATGGCTGCCCAAACTGTCACTGATCCACCTCCATGCTTCACTGTTGGAAGAAGGCAGTCAGGGTTGTAAGCTTCTTTGGGCTGCCTCCACACAAACTCGTCCTGAAGTTGGAAAAAGAGAAAAACTGGACTTGTTTGAGAATATGACTTGCTTCCATTGGTCTGCAGACCAGGCATTGTGATCTCTGCACCACTTCAACCTCTTTTGAATGTTGTGAGTGGAGAGAAGAGGTTTCCTCATAGCGGCTCTTCCATGATATGCAGCCTTATGGAGCTCACGGTGAACAGTTTTAGTAGAAACTGAACTATTCAGATGGTTATTCAACTCAGCAGTCACTTTGTTTGATGATTTTTTGCCACATTGCATTTCATTGCACGTCAGTCCCTGTCAGTAAGTTTGTAAGTCTGGCCTGAATTGCTATGGTTGCTAGAGGTTTTGCCCTGTTTCTCAAATTGCATCAGTGTTCTTGATATGGTAACTCTTGAAAAACCAAACAGTTCAGCAACCTTAGTAATCGAGGCTCCTGTCATGAAAGCTCCAACAATTTGCTCTTTTTCGAACTTGGAGAGGTCAGGCATTTAGCTTAAATTTTACTAAATTCTAAAAATAAATAAGACAAAGACAGTAAATTAGATAAATAAATGTATTTACAATAGATATAACCTGCAATTACGAAGTTTTAGCTAAAGTTCTTAATATAATAGGTCTTTGAAATATAGGAGTGGATTTTGTTCCAATTATTTTGTCCAACCTCTGTATGTATAACAATAGTAGTTCTAATCTTGTAAGATTTCTAGAGCACATAATAAGAAAAGAAGGTTTGGAAAATTTAGACAGACAGAGAAAAGCAGCACATGACCTATTTAGTGAACTTGAATAAAAGGAAAAGACAAAACATTAACTGAAAGAAGGAAGAATCTTTGAAATTGTTAGAAAAAAAAAACAAAAACAGCCCAACATGCAAATTGCAAATTATAGATACAATAATCAGACAAAAACAAAAATTTAACTATCTGGTAAGTGTTTTAACAGTGGACAGAAAATGAAACATTGAAATCTGAAGGCTCATTGTGATAGTGAAAGATGCCTTCCAAAAGTTAAGCAAATTATTAAGAAATAGAAAAACTTTGTCTATATTTCTGAGATGAGGTATTATGTACAATATTTACATTATTCGGACTATTGTCCTTATCTTTGTTGCTCAAGGACACATGGCAAAGTGAATAAAGGCATTGGTTAGATGCAGTGACAGGACCCAAAGAGTTTGAGTTCAATACCCGGTTAAGGCAGTGGAGAACTTTCAGAGGGAAATTAACAGGAGATAACTGACATCCATTAAAACATGGCACGTGGAACTAGAACAGTCTACCCCAGTGAGCAAAATAAAGGGTTCAGTTTGACATTCCAACCACCAGAAGAAGGCCGGAGCATACAACAGCTGAAATATTATAATAAATATGGCGACAAATATGAGGACAATAGTCCAAATTATGTAAATAGTATAGAAAAACTTTGTTAGAAACAAATAAATAAAGGATTGAACTGTAATGTAATATCAGTTCTTCTATATGGCAATGAATACTGGACAATCTCCTCACTGATGCAGAAGAGACTTGAAGCAACAAAAATATGGTTCTACAGGAGGATGTTGAGATTACATGTGAGCAACAAGTTTTAGGGAAAGTGGAAACAAAAAGGACACTTATAATTAATACGAGAAAGAGATGTTGAAAATTTGATATTCACAGGACAGATTGAAGGTAAGCAGAACAGTGGAAAACAACACATGACTTACATAGGGAGCTTGAGTAAATGCATTGTGAAATAAATTTTAAATTTATTAAGAGCTACAAAGGACAGGAAATTGTGGAGAGCCATGATTGACAATGTCCTAAAGGGCCATGGCTCATAGAAGAAGAACTTTTGTCATGGAACAATTTCTTTTGGAAATGAGAAAGTCAAGATAAGAATCTTTTTGTCCCTTTCACAAAGTTTCTGTAGAAAAGATTTGGACTGTTTTCTATGACAAGTTTCATGTAAATCGCTTCATCCCTATTTTGTATATCACTATCTTTCTTTTTCAAATTTTTCAAATTTATCTCTGTATTAATTTACAAGTTTTGCTTTCACAAAATTTATCTTTCTCGGCACATTTTTGTTCACATCTTTTTTTTCAGTTTCTGTTTTTTTTTGTTATTTTTTCCATTTCTGTTTTTTTCTTTGTTATTTTTTCCATTTCTGTTTTTTCTTTGTTATTTTTTCCATTTCTGTTTTTTCTTTGTTATTTTTTCCATTTCTGTTTTTGTTATTTTTTCCATTTCTGTTTTTGTTATTTTTTCCATTTCTGTTTTTACTTTGTTATTTTTTCCATTTCTGTTTTTGTTATTTTTTTCAATTTCTGTTTTTTCTTTGTTATTTTTTCCATTTCTGTTTTTGTTATTTTTCAATTTCTGTTTTTGTTATTTTTTCCATTTCTGTTTTTTCTTTGTTATTTTTTCCATTTCTGTTTTTTCGTTGTTATTTTTTCCATTTCTGTTTTTTCTTTGTTATTTTCACCATTTCTGTTTTTGTTATTTTTTCAATTTCTGTTTTATCTTTGTTATTTTTTCCATTTCTGTTTTTGTTATTTTTTCAATTTCTGTTTTTTCTTTGTTATTTTTTCGATTTCTATTTTTTCTTTGTTATTTTTCTTTAATTTCTGTTTTTCTTTATTATGTTTTTCAATGTCTGATTTTCTTTGTTATTTTTTCCATTTCTGTTATTCATTGTTATTTTTTCAATTTCTGTTTTTTTCTTTGTTATTTTTTCCATTTTCTCCTTTGTAATACTGTTACCATTTCTTTCTTTTTCTCATCCTCTTTCTGTTCTTCTCTTTTGTTTTCTCTCTTATTTCTTTACTTTCTTTTCTTTTTCTTTTCTTTTTCCTTCAATAGCTATTTTTATTTTACTTTCTTTCTTTCCCACATTTAATAAAATTCTAACTTTTTCTCCATCTTTGATCTCCAATTTTTTTTATTTTTTCATTTCTTTTATTTTCCGCCTTTTCCTTATTCCTTGTTTATTCCCTTTCATTTCTTTTTGCTTCTCTCTTTTCTCTTTTAAAAGCTTTTATTTTATGTTTCATTGTGTGTCACTCCTCCTCTTTTTCATTTTCCTTTTTATTTTCTTTCTTTAGTTAACTTTCTTTTTATCTCTTTTCTTACCTGCTTTTCTTTCCCCCTTATTCATTTTCCTTCTATTTCTTTCCTTCTCTAACAGCTTTTATCTTTCATTGTATCACTCTTTCTTCCTCTTTTCTTACTTCTATTATTTTCTTTCTTTCTTTCTTTCTTTCTTTCTGTCATTCATTCATTCTTTCTTTCTTTCTTTTTCTTCTTTCCTGCCTTTTCTTTCTCTCCTGACCATTTTCCTTCCACTTCTTTTCCTTCTTTTTCCTTCTCTAAAAGCTTTTATCTTTCATTGTGTCACTCTTTCTTCCTCTTTTCATACTCCTCTATATTTTGTTTGTTTCTTTCTTTTTCTTTTCTCTCTCTCACTTATTTCTATCTTACTTTCTCTCTACTTTGTCTTTTCTCCCCAACCCCTTTTTATCCTTCTCTCTTTCTGTCACTGGAAACTCCTCTCTCTATTAGTTTTTACTTTCTCTTACTTCTTTTTGGTCTAATACAATTAACTCCCTCAGTTGTCTCCCCACTTCCTTGGCTGGATGTGCGACTGCAGCTTTACACATAGTCATGCATCATTCTCCCCACATTTTGTGTCCATGTGTGTATGTGTGTTTGTGTGTGTGTGTGCATACATGCGTGTGTGTGCTTTCTGCTTGAATCTCCCTTTCGTTTGTTCCAAATAGACTCAACTCTACCACCAGAACAAAATCAAAATTACAAGTAGCAGCAGCAGCAGCAGCACCAACGGCAGAAGCAGCAGCAGCAGTAGCAATGATGGCAACATCTTGCCAGTCAGTCGTTTTGTCAATTTTTATACCGACAATGCAGAAATAAACGACCAGGGGTTCCTAGCCTTCCACTACATGCATTGATGTGTACACACTAATAGACTTGCTCGCACATGTTATATGCGTGTGTGGTATGAATGTGTGCACACTTTGGTTCGACCGTAGTTGTGATATTCAGCTAGGTACACTTAGGTACTTATAAATTAATTTGAGTTTGTAATGATCGTGGCAGAGGAAACAAGTAACAAGTGTTTCTTCTCTGGGTATTAAGATAAATTCACAAAGGAATATTATCAGTATTATTGACATTATTATTATAATTATAATTGTTATTGTTGTTACCGGGAGGTTGAATAGCTGGAGTTTTAATGGGAAAAGCTACCACCTTCTAAGCAACGCTGGACTCTACGCAACAACATTCTCTAGATACATTCTCTTTAAATTCTGCAGGTAAGATTTCTGATGCAACAACTTTCTATCTTTCTGTGTTTTTCACTGCTGTCTGTCTTTCATATCTTTTCATTTCTTCTCTCTATTCCTGGAATTTTGGCTTCGACTTTTTCTCAAGTATTTCTGGAAAAAACAAATAAAAGGTGTCTCATTGAAAAATTCTGCTAAAATCTGAGATCCTCATCTACAAAACCCTGTTTATAATCATGCTACTTCAAGAAAATGATTATTGCAATAATTTTACACACTCTCAAAGAAATTCTATAAAAACACACACTTTTCTATCACCTCCCCACCCCACAAAAAACAGTTTGTAATTTGTTTTTTTGTTTTGTTTT